CCCTCCTGCCTCCTTCTCCCCTTTTTGGATTCCTAGGGACCGAAGGGGGGCTCCCTGCGTCCGTGTTTGGGTGCCTCTTGCTCTGGCAGAACCTCCCTCCCCCCATGCCCTTCACCTCCAGCTTTGAGACCCTGGCTGAGGACGCCCACCCTCTAGGGCCGGGAGTGGGGCCCTTGCAGGCTTCTGTCCCTGGTGCAGCAGACGCAGGTGGCCTATAGGCGGGGCCCTCTCAGCCTTCCGGGTGGGGTGTTTCGTTTCCTCCAGCGCCTCGGGCCAGCTGTGTGCAGGCCTGGCCAGACTCAGGGACACAGATGCCCTGCTCTTCAGAAGCAACCCACCCTGCTGTCCCAGCAGAGGGCGGGCAGCGGGGCGCGCAGCCGCCCCACCGCTCTCCCCCTCTTCCCAGCCCTGTGCTCAGGCCAGGTCTTGCGCGGCCGATCTGGGGAGCTGAGCAGCCCCGAGTACCCGGGGCCCTACCCCAAGCTCTCCAGCTGCTCCTACGGCATCCGCCTGGAGGAGGGCTTCAGCGTCACCCTGGACTTCGTGGAGTCCTTCGACGTGGAGGCCCACCCCGAGGCCCAGTGTCCCTACGACTCCCTCATGGTACAGCCTGAGCCCCGGCCCTCGGGTCCCCCTCAGCACAGCCCGTGGCCCAGCTCCTGTTCACCTCCGTCCAGGCCAGCCGGCTGGCGGGGGGACGGGCCACCTGTCCCACCAGCTCCCCTGAGCGAGAGCTTGCCCCTCACCCCAGCAGGAGCCCGGCAGCGGGTCCTGGGACTTCAGAGCTCCTCCTTTTTCAGATTCAGACGGACCAGGAGGAATATGGCCCTTTCTGTGGGAAGACATTGCCCCCCAGAATTGAGACAGGGAGCAACAACGTGACCATCCTCTTTGTCACTGACAAGTCAGGGGCCCACACAGGCTGGAAGATCCACTACACAAGCACAGGTGAGCGGGGGTCCCAACAGGCAGGAAGCTCAGAGCCTCTCCTCTCTTCCTTGTGTCAGGGAGCCATGGGGAGCGGAGCGCTTCCCAGGCCAGGCCCAGCCAGGGAGACCAGTGGGGAAGCCTGAGAAGCAAGGGCCTTCCACTGGTGCCTTCCTCCCCCGCCCTCCCATCCCCCAACACGTCCTTCCACCCCCCACTGGCCCCTCACCCACATGCCCTTCCAGAGACACGAAACACGGAACTCAGTCCAGTGGGGACAGTAACATAACCAGACTCCCTGGCAGGCACAGCCTCAGAGCCAAGGTCTGGGCATGGTGAGAGTCCGGAGGAGGGACCTGGCCCAGGCGGGGACTGGATGCTAGGGAAGGTGCCCTGGAACAGGACATCCCCAAGACAGCAATGGAGGACCCAATGGGTGGCAGGGTATCTGGGCCCAGGAAAGGGGACATGCCAGCACCAGCCCAAAGGTGCCACCATTCAGGGTGTGGAGCTGTAGGGGGTGAGGTGTGGGCTGCAGAGGGTTTGGGCTAGAACTACAGCGCAGGGGGTCAGCAGGACCCATGACCTCTGTCTGCAGGGGCTGCCCCTGGCCTTGATTCTGCCCTCTGGGCCCTTCCAGCACCTTTTTTTTTGTACTGGGGATTGAACCCAGGGGCACATTACCACTGAGCTACATCCCCAGCCATTTTTTTTAATTCATTTTTTTATTTTGAGACAGAGTCTCAATAAGTTGCTTAGGGCCTTGCTAAGTTGCTGAGGCTGGCCTCAAACTTCTAATCCTCCTGCCTCAACCTCCCAAGCCACTGGGATTACAGGGATAAGCCATGTGCCCAGTGCTAGCAGCTCTTCCTCATGACAGGCCCTCAAAGTTAGAAGCCCTGGGCCCTGTGTGATGAGAGCCACCTCAGGACCCTGGCTGGGTGGGGTGAACCCAGCTGCTCTAGCAGCTTAGCAGGTCACTGGAGGGAAGAGCCTCAAGGAGAAGCGGGGCCACAGGCTGTGGCCTGAAACTGGGGGTGAGAGCAAGCAGGGGCTTGCAGCTGGTGGAAGGCAGTCTCCCCAGGGCTCGAGTACTGTGGTGGGTGCCAGCAGGGAAGGCTGAGGCTCCCCAGGTCTTCTGGATCTTTTTTTTTCTTTAAAGAAGTTGTGAATGTTTTTTGTTTGTTTTAATATTCTTTAGTTGTCACTGGGCCTTTATTTCGTTTATTTATATGTGGTGCTGAGAATTGAACCCAGGGCCTCACACACGCCAGGCAAGCCCCCGTCTGGATCTTTTTGAGGCTCCCCAAGTCCCCCGGAGCTTTGGTCTCTGGCCCATCTTGGAGCCCTGGTGTTCCCCCTGTGTCACCCTGGCATCTTATGGGTGTCATGAGGCTTGACTGCAGCTTGCTCTTTCCAACCACTCGTCCAAGTGCTGTCTTAGTACTCCTCCCCTGTCCCCAGGAGCTATGACTTAAACCCACTTGATTTTAAGTCACATGTGTCTTGCTCCTGGCTGTGGGAGGAAAGAGGGCAGCAGGACAGACCTGGGGAAGGGGCCGGGAGAGGCCCTTCCAGGTGGTTCTGAGGCCGGGCTGGGCTGGTTTGCAGGTGGGGCGGTGCACTGTCTTTCTGCACACCTGGCCTTCTTACCTATCCACGGCTGAGTGCCAAGCAAAGACAAATAACTGTGTGTGTCTGTCTGTCTGTCTTTGTGTGTCTGTGTGTGTGGTACCTGGGATTGAACCAGGGGTACTTTATCACCGAGCTACATCCCCAGCCCATTTAGTTTTTTAAAAATTTTGAGCAGGGTCTTGGTAAGTTGCTGAGGGTCTTGCTAAGCTGCCAAGGCTGCCTCAAGTTTGTGGTCCTCCTGCCTCAGCCTCCAGGTGGCTGAGATTATGGGTGTGGGCCACCTCGCCTGGCAAAGCAACAGATCTTAATTTGTGCAAGCCACTGAGTTTAATCTTGCTTTTGAGACTTTCTTTGTATCATAAAGGTTTGCTTTAGAAGTCAAGAACTTCAGATTGCTAAATTCAGACTTGGCTGCTACTGACCACATCAAAGTCACTAAGCCTGCTTTCCTCTGCACAGCGCAGCCGTGTCCTGATCCGATGGCACCACCTAATGGTCACATTTCACCTGTGCAAACCAAGTACATCCTCAAAGACAGCATCTCTGTCTTCTGTGAGACTGGCTATGAGCTTCTGCAAGTGAGTTACTACAAAACCATACTCACAGGGTCACAATCATGGCGAGATGTGCACACACGTGTGAGCAGATGCGTGAAAAGAAAGCGGAAAGAGTGTGAAAGAGGCAGGGCAGCTCTGCGGTCAGTGCTTCAACAATAAAAAGCAGATCCACTCGTAGACCACAGGGACGGCCATGGAGAGTTTCGTCCTTGGGAATCCTGCCTTCTTAAAAATTATTTATTTTTACATTTATTGGGGGGGAGGGTTGGGGATGGAACCCGGGCATCACACATGACAGGCAAACGCTTACCACAAGCTACTTGGAGAGCTGGTGATTAAAAGGGGAACTTTTGTTCGCTCGCTGCAGCAGCTAGCTCTTCATAAAGTGGCTGAAACGACAGAAAGAGGCACTCACCAGACTGTTCCATGAGCCCTGCGGCAACACCGCGTATTAAATCAAGGTCCTCCCTCTGGTCAACGGATGACCTTCCCATGGAACAACTTCTGGGCCCACAAAAAATTAGACAGTGGTGGGAAAGAGTATATTCTGCAAAGTTATAAATAGTGATCACTGTTAAGGGAGAGGGAGTATAATTTAAAAAAATGCTTAGCATGTTGCTTTAGGGGCACAGGTAAGAGATTAACACGTCCTCTTTATGTTCTTCAAAATTGTCACTGAATCCCAGTGGTAAAAAGTAATAACACTGAAATGATAGCTGGCGATGCAACCCACAGTCCTGTGGAGGGTCAGAACCAAAAAAAAAAAAAAAAAGATTCCCACCTTTCGAGCTCTTTCCTACAATTCCTTGACTATAAACTTGTTCAGTTTCTCACTTGATTTAAAAAAACAAAACAAAAAAAGACACCTTGAGGTCCTCTGAAGCATAAAGCTTCTGCCAATGCCACCCTCTTTGTGTGTGTGTGTGTGTGGGCGGGGTATCCTGAGGGTTGAACCAGAGGTGCTTTACCACTGAGCCACATCCCAGCCCTTTTTGTTTTTTTGAGACAGTGACTCACTAAGTTGCTGAGGCTGACCTCCAATTTGTGATCCTCCTGCCTCAGCCTCCCTAGTAGCTGGGATGACAGGCATGCGTCACCAGAGCCGGCCATCCTCTTTCATTTTACTGTTTGGTTTTATTTCAGAAAGTCAAAATAGTTTTCCCTCTAAATCCCACTGATGGGAAAGCTGATTACATGCAAAGCTCATGACAATATTTCAGTAGCCTTCCTCTGGCTGATCTACTGGCCTCAGGTCAGAAAGACACACAGGGGCTCTGTGTCTGATCATGCCAGCCTTTCCCAAGCTTTGGACCACACACCTCGGGCACTTTATATAAAGGGTGAACTTTGAGTTCTAATGTGTTTTTGGATTACTGTGGAAAGCAAAAAAACATAAATCACTGCAGCAGAAATACCAATGCAGGTTTAGAGTTGAGATATCTAACAGGTGACCTAACCTAGCAGAGCTTTGTGTAGCACGTGCATATGCACCAGGCAGCTGGGTGTGCACCAAGTCCAGGCCCCCCATGTGCCACCACACATGAGCTCTGTTCATGTGGCTGCCACCTCCCTTTTGTGAAGCACTGGAATAGGAACTGCTGTGGGGCCCAGCTCTTGGTGACTAGAGGATGTAAACAAGGAAATTACTGTCTGAATTTCTCTTTAGGGTGCTTTGCCCCTGAAATCATTCACTGCAGTCTGTCAGAGAGATGGATCTTGGGATCGACCCATGCCAGAGTGCAGCTGTACGGCCATGTGGTGACAACTCCCTCACCTGCTGCTACCCTTACTGCTTCTGTCACTTCTCTGCCCCTCCCCCCAAACAATGGTTACATATATCAGGGCTTTGATTCAAAACTTGCTTCTCCTCCTCAGTCAGCACTTAGAGGCTCCAACAGCACGAGGTTACTAGGGAAAAGTCAAAGTGTGCTCTTTGCATACATTATACACACACACAGTGACATTGAGAACCCATCACACCACCCAGTGAGAGTATAATCACCATTATTGTTTTGGTGTGTATCCCTCCAATTACACATATCTCACATGTATGAACATGTACTTGCTGCCACATGTTGAGATGGGAGTCATTCTGTCCATATGTATGTACATAAACACACATATGCACACTCACAAACTGGGATAATGGCGCACCATTTTGTAGACTAAGAATCATATAAATTTAAAGAATCGTAAAAATAGCATTTCAATTGTAAAAATACAAACGTGTAAATTGAAAAAAATAAGGAATTTACAATATACAGCAAAAGCATCTTTTGCCTCTCTCCAAACTACCACTGAGTTTGCAGGGTATACTGGAGGATGGAGCTCAGTTAAGAGCACTTGCCTGGCTTGCACGAAGCTGAGTTCATCCCCTGAAATGCCCTCCCCCCAAAAAATTGGGTGGAGGGGCTCTATTCATACTTTTTTTCTTAATATATTTTAATGTGGTGCTGAGGATTAAACCCACTGTCTTACACAGGCTAGGCGATCGCTCTACCTCTGAGCCCCAGCCCAGCCCTATTCCTTCATTCTCCTGTTTTGAACATGCATTTCATTATGATGGCCTTGAACCAAATGGTGGCACTGTGCTTCCTCCTGGCTGGGACACCTTCCCTCATCTGCCTGACTTTAAGAGGCCTACTCCTGGATCTGTGTACAGCCCCAATCACTTTGGTGCTTTTACTTTATCCAATTTCTATTGCCAGAGTTTTGCTATTGTCAGGTGTAGAGTTAAGTCTATATACCTTTTTTTGTGTATTTTTTTGCAAAGGTTTTCATAGAACAAATTCTATGGAACAAGAAACTTAAGTCTTTTTCTTTTTATAAATTTATATCTCCACCAATGAGAAAACAGTAAAGAGCTGGTCTGGGTTTGAACCCTGATCCTGCCACTTTTTGCTGTGCCCAGGTGGCAAAACACCAGTCTCATCTTCTCATCTAGATTGGCCCTGTCAAGAGCTGTAGTGACATTGAGGAGGAAGGTGGAGAACTTGGCACAGAGCCAGGCCCACAGCTACAAGGTTGCCAAAGCGCAGCTTTAATATCCCCAATAGAACTACACCAACAACTCGTGTCTACTGTGGAGAGATCTAGGACTTCAGACAAAAATCGCTCCATCTCGTTTGTATCACAAATTGGCTAGTGATGTCCTAAGCACTGTCAATTCTGGTCCACACTCAAGGGATGAAATGACGACCCTCAACACAACTGTTTTGCTCAGACTCCAGGTGGTCTAAAGTTCTGGTTGGAAAGGGCCAGAAGGCCCTGGGTTCATTGGCTTATCTTGACCCAGGCCTGCTGCTCTCCTCCTCCCAGAATGCTGCTACACGGCAGCCTTGTGTCTTCTTTCTGCACCAGGGATGGAGCCCAGGGGAGGGCTACCACTGAGCCACACCCCAAATCCTTTTTATTTTTTGAGACATGGCCTTGCTGTTACTTAGGGCCTTGTCAGTTTGCTGAGGCTGGACTCCAGTTTGTAATCCTCCTTAATAACCCGAGTGCACTGCACCTGGCTAGTCTTTGTTTCATGAGAAATAAGGAACTCCAAGTATTTCCTTTAGGGAAGGCACCGCCCTGATCCTCTCCTGGCCCAGCCATCTAATTAGAATCTGGACATGAGTGATGCTTTGAGATCACACTAATGTGATTCTTGCCACTTCCTAGAGATGAAATTCATAATACCAACCACATAGGGGGAAATGCATGTGGTCCAGCCCACCTTCTAGATACGCTGCTAGTGGTCTTCAGAACTTTTCACTAATTTTATGATTCTGGAGATGAAACTCAGGTCTCGTCAGGCAAGCGCCCTGCCACGGAGTCTACCCCCAGCCCTCCCTTCCCATATTTCTTCACTAGTGGTGGACTGTGGCCCTCCAGAGGAGCTGCCCAATGGCCGAGTGGAATACCTCACTGGTCCTGAAGTGACCACCTATAGAGCTGAGGTTCAGTACCACTGCACAGAGACCTTCTATACAATGAAGAGGAATAATGGTAAGAAAGGTTTGCAAAGTTGGGGTGGCGATATTTAGAACTTAAGCTTTCGTGTTCTGGAAATGAACTTTAACCAACATTTTTGGCTAAGGAAGACAAAAGATTAAAAGGCACTTCTCCCACCGCTAAGTGAAATATTACAGCTAAAGTGACTTTAATGTCAATTTGCAAGAATCTGAAAACAGATCTTATCTAGTAAATGACTACTACAAACACACAATATATTCCAAATGGTTTAATTTAACAAGTCAAAACGTTATCATTAAGCACTTGAGATCTTGATACATATTCAAGTTACACATCTAAAAGGTTTCCACTTTGCAAGCAAACATGGTAATGCAGAGACCTCCTATTTATGAAATCATGTAAAATGGTTAGTCAGACACCTCTACCTCCCACAGATGCTCAAGAATCAACATTTTTCAAGGGGGTATTCAAGCAAATGACAACCAACTTATACATGCAGTTAAACATTTTTGCTTTTCCAATGATTTGCAGGTAAATATGTATGTGAGGCTGATGGATTCTGGACGAGCTCCAAAGGAGAAAAATCACTCCCAGTCTGTGAGCCTGGTAATGGACACATTTATACAAGATTCATAATTGACGGAAAGGAGAACTGGGTGGGAGACAATAAGAAGTGCTTTAGCTGTGGTAGGCAGAAATGAAACTTTAGCACTTGGCTCTTAGACCAAGTTATTATTTCCAAATAATCTGTTCTCATTATCCCCTTTCCACACAGAGAGGTTGTGCAGTGCTGACTGCATCAGTCATTTGATTATTTTTGACCTTATAACTAGGCAAGCATAAAAAATTAAATGATTTTTTAAATTATCTTGAACCATTTATACATTTATAAACACGAGTTCTTCTGTTGTTACTTTCCTTCTCTGTAAAAATGCTATTAAAACCCAAAGCTAATAACTTCATTATTTCCCTAAGCAATTGTTTTCAATGACATCTAGGTTTTTAAACATTAATGCAATTTGCTTTTTAATAGTGCTTAATTTTTTTTTTAACCAGAATTGGCTCTAACAATAATAGTTGAGAATGATTTTTTTAAAAAAAATCTGAAAGGTAATAATATATTCATTACCCCTCTGTTATTTGGCTTAAATTGTTTTTTTTAAACCTATACTTGGCAGACACAACGTTTGTGAGTTTAATACAAGTATACTGCCATAACGGGAAACATATGCTACATTAATGAGCATAATTAATCTGCAATAAGGACACAGTAAGATTCAGTGTTTGGAAGAATCAACCAGACCACAAATAATAACTTCTGACCCGAAGGGTCCTGGATGGTACTGGGATGGAACCTGGGGCACTCTCCCATTGAGACACATCCCAGCCCTTTTTATTTTCTGAGACAGGGGTGAAGCTGCTCAGGCTAGTCTTGGATCTCCTGAGTTGCTGAGATTCTAGGCATGTGCACTGCACACAGCTCCCCAAATCTTATAGACCAAATTCTTTTAGTAAAAAAAAAAAAATTATTTCCAAAATTTAAATTTCACTCACAATTTCCTGAGGAACTAAGAAATACCAAAATTATTTACAACTTTGAATTGTGCTATTTTAGAATAGTCTTACGCACCTATGTAAGGAAACACTCCTACTTGTAGGACCTAATTTTTGGCTGACATTAAACACACAACCACCACCAAAGTGGTAAAAACTTGGAAAAAAAGCCCCACTGGATTTTTACAAAGTCTCTCTCACTGCTTCTTCCCCAGTGTGTGGACTATCAGCCCGGACTACAAGAGGTCGTATATATGGAGGGCAAAGGGCACAGCCTGGTGATTTCCCCTGGCAAGTCCTGTTACTAGGTCAAACTACAGCAGCAGGTGCACTTTTATATGACAACTGGATTCTAACAGCTGCTCACGCCATATATGGGCAAAAAGAAGAGGTATCTTCCCTGGACATTCGAATGGGCATCCTGAATAGACTATCGCATAACTACACAAAAGCCTGGGCTGAGGCTGTTTTTATACATGAAGGTTACACTCATGAGGCTGGTTTCGACAATGACATAGCACTGATTAAATTGAAGAACAAAGTTGTAATCAATAGCAACATCATGCCTATTTGTCTGCCAGGAAAAGAAGCTGAATTTTTGATAAGGACAAATGACATTGGAACAGCATCTGGTTGGGGATTAACCCAAAGGGGTTTTCTTGCTAGAAATCTAATGTTTGTCGACATACCAATTGCTGACCATCAAAAATGTACTGCTGCCTATGAAAAGCAGTATCCAGGGGGAAGGGTAACTGATAACATGCTTTGTGCTGGCTTAGAAACTGGAGGCAAGGATAGCTGCAGAGGTGACAGTGGAGGGGCACTAGTATTTCTAGACAACAAGACAGAGACTTGGTTTGTAGGGGGATTAGTGTCTTGGGGTTCTGTTAATTGTGGGGAAGCAGGTCAGTATGGGGTGTACACGAAAGTCATTAACTATATTCCCTGGATTGAGAACATAATTAATAATTTGCATGTGTTCAATCAGTAAATGAGTCATTTTTAGAACCTTGTAAAAGATCTTAGCAGTAATGTGACATAGCAGCTACCGCCCCCCCGCCACCACACACACAAAATAACCCAAACTCCAGGTGACACTGTTACAGGTACTAATCCATTTAATAGTATAATGCCACCCTTACTTGTTGATTGAAGGGGACATAAACCATCACAGTATTACAATGACATTCACCTTCACCACCCCAATATAACTCACTGCTTAAGATGCATTTACTTACAAAGCCCACCTTTTCATACTAGTTGTTTGCATTTCTGCAAATTGCTTGTCTATTTTCCACTTGTTCTTACTGATCTCAAAGAGTGCTTTATATATTATAGGACTATGGGTTTTAGGGGAGCAACTTTGAAAAATCATTTTTCCCCCAGGTAGATAAGATGTTCCTAGCAATTGGAAATAACCTAAATAATGTTCAACTTCAGAATACTGTCTAAATAAAATCTGGTATTTCCACAAAATGAAATGTACTAGAAACAAGTGGTCATATTATAGATAAATCTGAAGTTTTTTTTTTTTTTTCCCCCTTTTCCTTAACTGAACACAAAATTTTCGGGCACAGGTAAGCTTAACAATAGACAAATTCTACCATAGCTGAGTAGACAGTTCTATTATTCAATTCAGAGATACTCTCCTGTGTGTAATAATAAAAATTCTAATTATCAGATGCAACTGAATTACTGTGTAACTTCCTACTGTTCCTACTACGGAAATACAGGTGCTGATTTAACCTTAAAATTTAATTTTAGTTGGCTATCCCTAAAACTTTTTATTTATTTATTTATTTATTTTGCACTGCTGGAGACTGAACCGAGAGCTTCATGCATGTGAGGCAAATGCTCTGCCGGAGTAACATCCCCAGCCTTCTTCCTTAAAAAATTTAACAGTAAATATTTAATTAAGTTTTTCAATATAGTTAGTTAACATTATATGAAAATTCACTCTTGACTTTAGGTCTAATTTCTCTTGTTCATATAAAGTGTAATTTCTTGATAATCACTTTTTAAAGGTAACTTTCCAGCATCTTTGTCACATAGGAAAAAGAAATCATGTTTTTCCAGTAAGACTCCAGACACTAAACTGTGGTGACAATAAAATTTTTATTCAACTGTGGTTCAAAAAAATTTTTAGAATGAATGCATTTAGATGACCAAATAAGACTTTTAAAAACAAATCTTTGCCAAATAGTTTAAGTACTTCTAAACTTTAATTTTTTTTTTAAGGGTAGAATAACTACCCACTATGTAGTATCATAAACATGTTAAATAAAAGGCTACTCAACATTGAAAGCCTTCTATGACCAGCAACTAGCTTTAACAAGTGTAAATAAGGTATTAAAACCATGCCATCGATAAGTTAACTTACCCCTGGGCTCCTTGAAGGCTTGTCAGTTTAGTCTTTGGAGGTCCCCGAATACCATTTTAAGTGTTACCATGTTACTGCTGCTGAGTAATAGTGCAAGTGCTAAAATGCAAAATTCAGATGGTACAGGGTTTGGAAATCATGCAGATTCAGATGCAGAAAAATATTAAAACAACTCAAGATCCTTTTACAGAGGAAACTGCATAACAAAACAATGTGGCAATCACAGTCTAAAGGATGATTTCATTTATAAATGTTTAAAACACTCAACTTGCAAAATGACAAACCTATTTATGGTAATCTAAGTAGGTAAGGGCATCAGGTAAACTACCAACACAAAAACTGTCACATTCTTCCAGTTAGAAAACGAGATCCTTAATTCTCACAGGATTAGCATTTACATAAAAGTACAATAAAGAATCAATATATATTATTGCTTTTACATTCTTAACAATGCATTGTGAGAGTCTAATCTGAGTTCTGTAAGCGAGTTTATTCAACATTATTATACTTCCCTCCCTTGGAGGGCAAAGCCCACTTCACTTAACACTTCCACAGACAGACAACCCACCCTACTGGTTCTTAAAGCTATCAGGCTTCTTAATGGATTTCAGGCACAAGGTAATTTGTGGTTTCTTCTACTTTATCCCTATTGCAATTAATTCCACTTTTCAATCCCAAACAGAAAGGTACTGATAGTCCCTTCTTTTCAATTGATAGGCTTTGCTACAAAGCATTTGAAAATAATGTTTTGCCCACTCTCCCAAACAAGAATATTTTTAGAAGGCATTTCCCAATGGAGATTTATACAGGCCATGTAAATAGAACATCACCCAAATGCACAGAGGCACTAAGAAAAAGCTGGAGGGTACTGCTTACCATTTTAGGTGCGGTCACCCAGACTTATTAAAAACTAGATTAAAAAAAGAAAAAAGAAAAAAAGAAAAACTTTTCACTTTGGACAATGCAAGAACAAATAGCAATTAAGTCTGGGTATCAGGTGTCAATGCATGACAGGTGATGAATCCATTTGACTTGAGACAACTTTTCAAATAAGTTTATTTGAAGCAAAATAAACTACTGCCAAGAAACTTTATGAAAGTTCCATCTCAAAAGGGTCAAAAAAGGGGAATTAACTGCTATGAATTCTTTGCATTCAGGGCTGCAAAACAAAGACACATATTATTTAAATCAGTTTTATTTAAGAATTTCCAACATTGACAACTCTTATAAAAAGCATCCAAGCACAGGACACAGAACTGCAGCAAACAGCATTCTTATGGGTAGCTAACAGACATTAGAACTTCCACCCTTCTTTGAGACACCTGAGCTCACTGGTGAACTCTGCTTCCAAGTACTCCTGCAAAGCACACCACAAGCTCAGTCCATGTTCTCAACCCATCAGCTTCAGTTCACATTACCACACTTACATATCAGTAACAGAGGAGAACACACACCATACAGCATTCACAGCAGTTGACAAAGGGGCAGGGGAAGTACAAGTATCATTTCACTTAACACATTCAACTAACGTGGGTTATCTAAGAACAAAACTCACTTAAAGTCTTCCAACAGATGTGGATGTCCTTTGAATGCAAAAAACATTCGTACATTATTTGCTATCATTGCTCTCTGCACACTCTCTCACCAAAGCCACAGGATTGAGAGACACATCTCGCCAAGTTAAAAAATATCCATTATGCACCACCAAGTCTCTGCACGCGCTCTCTCCTTTCCTCGCTCATACTAGCCTTTCATGCCTCGGCACCACCATCAATCCCACACAAGGTTTCAAAAGTTCAAACAGCTTTCTGGTTCCAAATCACAGCCTTGCGTTCATAGCGTTGATACGACTCCATGAAATAAAGAGTAGCGGATAAAAATGGGACACCCACCGTCAAAGACGCAGCCTGTGCAGCGTGATGACGAATTCTTGAATGAGAAAGCATGTAGACAGAAGCATTCCTATGGCAGAATATTTACAGCACTACTTTCAATGAAGTGCTTCTTCCATAAACATTTGAAATGAGATGAACTGCAGAGATTAAATGAAGGCTTCATATTGTACTTTTGTATATGAGAGGAGACAAGTGTTAAAAAACAAAACCAAAAGAACCAAACACTGTGACACCATGATCTCCCAAAAGGAGATTTTCCTAAGGAAAAAATTCATATGGTGGGGTTCAAATTAAAAAAGGAGAAAAGAATGTAGTTCTAATCAATGGTTTCCACTTTGAACATGCAAAGAATTCACTTAACAAGTCCAGGGATAAAACATTACAGGAGAAACCTTTTGATATCAATTGTAGTGTGTTGGTTTACCAATCAGGCAAACGGCAATTCACTTTCAGCCACTCAATATTTCAACCCTTTATGTAACAAAACTTATAAAATTCCTTTAGCTCTTCCTCTTTTTCTAAAGAAAAATGTCAAAAATACTGCTGAATATACTCCACACTGAACAAACCAATTTTGAAAATTCTTAGTACATATGTATTTTACAATATACTTACCATGAGTTTAGAAAAATTTGAATTCCCACCATTCTAACTAACCAACCATAACCCACTATCTACATTCCCCAGCCAGAAGATTTAGAATCCATGCTTGAGCCAAAGCCTCCATTGAAACCACTACCTGACCCTGCATTTGATGCTGATCCCCAACCAATTGCAGCACCAGAATTAGAACCACTATAGGAATTATTTCCAGACCCAAAAGCTTGATTTGGCTCTCTCTGCATGTTGCCCTGGCTTTGGTTATTACCTGATGGGCCTGACTGGTTCTGCTGACTGGCTAACATGCCCATCATACCCCAACTGCTCTGTAGCGCTGCCTGGGCTGCTGCCATCATGGCTGGATTAATGCTAAAAGCACCAAAGTTCATCCCTCCACCCATGTTACTACCCTGATTGTTTCCCAAGCCAGCTCCACCCCCTCTACTGTTACCAAACCCACCCTGATTCCCAAAGCCACCTGGATTACCACCAAATCTTCCACTTCTCTCTAACTGCCTATTGCTATTGTGCTTAGGTTCAGCATTGGATATATGCACGCTGATTCCTTTAATGATCAAGTCCTCTCCACAAAGAGACTGGGCAACCTATAAAAAATAAAGGATGTAAACAAAGGAGATTAAACCACTGACTCATACCTCAAAATAGCAATAAAAAACTAGATTTTAAGCATAATTTATCTGAACTGGAGGAAAAATAAGTAATAAATACTCATTTCACCGAAACCTTCAACATAGCCTTTCAGCTTTAGTAAAGATAACAGTGGTAACTTTTTTCAAAAGATACATAACAGGGCCTGGGGGTACGGCTCAACGGTAGAGCGCTCACCTAGCACATGTGAGGCCCTGGGTTCGATCTTAGCACCACATAAAATAAATAAATGAAATAGAGTATTGTGTCAAACTAAAAAATTGATAATCAAAAAAAAAAAAATATATATATATATATATACATAACAGGGCTGGGGCTATAGCTCAGTGGTAGAGCACTTGCCTTGCAGGTGTGAGGCCCTGGGTTTGATCCCCAGCAACACATAAAAATAAAGATACTGTGGTCCATCAACAACTTCAAAAAAAAAAAAGATACATAACATTCCTGAAGACCACATACTAAAAAATATATAAAGAGTATCTCCTTAATATCTAGGCCTATGTACCCCACCCCTTAGAAAGTCAAAAACTTAGCTGAATGAAAAAAATTCAAGAGAAAATGCCTAATTAGCTGGGAGAAATTAGTAAGAAGAAAAATACCTGATCATCTGCAAATGTAACAAAGGCAAAAGCCCTGAATGGTTTGGGAATGAAGACATCTACCACTTCTCCATACTGACAGAAGAACTGCTGCAGCTCATCAGCAGTCATGTCCTCCGTACAGCGCCCAACAAACACCTTTCTGCTTCTCAAAGGCTCATCCGGGCTTTGCTGGTAAAATCAAAAGGAAAGAAAAACATCAGAAATATTTTATAAGCAATGCAAAGAGCATTATGGTAGGGATGTTGCCTTGTACAACAGGTAAATCATTAAAGGGTAGGCATACTACTTCTTACATCAGTACTTCTCTATCTTGTAAGCCTTTAACGAAGAATAAAGTTTTTTCTTTCTTTTTTTTTTTGGTACCAGGATTGAACCCAAGAATGCCTAACCACCAAGCCACATCTGTAGCCCATTTTTATTTTTGAGACAGGGTCTCACCAAATTGTTTAGGGCCTCACCAAGTTGCTGAGGCTGGCTTCAAACCTGCAATCCTCTTGCCTCCGCTTTTTGAGCTACTGGGATTATAGGCATACACCGTTGTGCCCGGCAAGAATAAAGTTTTACATTATGAAAGTATACTTGGATTTATGATGATCAATGAGTATCCTGGCACAGATGCTCCCATATGCCTTTATAACAGGATTAATGTATTCTGATTGACTTCATGTTTGAATGCATACTGTAAGAAACCTGACAGAAATAATAACAACAATATTTGGGATGGAGTATAAAGTCTGGGCTGGGGTAGGGTTTAGCTCAGTGGCAGAGCACTTGCCTAGCATGCTAAGATCTTGGGTTTGATTCCCCAACACCACAAAAAAAAAAAAAAATTAAAACAAATTTTTAGTTTGGAAGAATAACAGATTAAATATTTCAAAGCAACATAAAATATTCAGCATGCATTAAGGTTCAAAGACTTCAACAAAGAAAAATATCAATTCACAAACACACCCTGCAACTGAACCCAGGGCCTCATGCATGGTAAGCATATGCTCTACCACTGAGCTACATCCCTAGCCCCAGCCATGACCTTTTCCAAGTGTACTTAATGTTTTATGTTAGTGTCTTCTAAGGAAGTTGATCAGCAAAATTCCCAAAGTATAGAGGGGAAAAAGTGAAGTACCTTAGAATTGGGGAGTTTACAGTCACACCATCGTCCGTCTATCATATGTCGCTGTGACATTACTTTCACCTGGGTTTCATATTCTGTAAATCGTACAAAGCCAAACCCTTTTGAATGACCAGTTTTAATATCTTTCTTGACCTGAAAAGACAATTGATATTTACTTTAACACAACGCTCATACCCCCAAATCAGAGTTCTCTGACAGAGAATTTAAATGATTTAATCAAATGAGATAATTAAGATTTAAATCAAGTTAGTCTTCAGGTAAAACCAATAGGAGGGAATCCAGATTATGTTAATAGTACAGCAAAACTCATTTACACAATAAAATTACAACAATGTTTCAGAATGAGTGCAAATATAAATTAGATTTGGTTATAAATCTTAACTAATCAAATGGGAAAAGCAAACATTTCTCATCAATATATACACAACAAACTGAATGTCTGTCACCTACTTCCCTTACGTCTTTACCAACAGAATTTTTTCAGTTAGTTTAGTTTTTTTTTTTGATACTAGGGATTGAACCCGGGGGCACTCAACCACTGAGTCACATCCTCAGCCCTATTTTGTATTTTATTTAGAGACAGGGTTTCACTGAGTTGCTTAGTGCCTCACTTTTGCTAAGGCTGGCTCTGAACTTGTGATCCTCCTGTCTCAGGCTCCCAAGCCACTGGGATTACAGGTGTGTGCCACCTAGTCCAGCTAGCTTCATTTTTATAATATGAAATGCAATGCATGTGCATAAAGCCAAATTTCTTTGTGAGCATCCCTATGTACATACACTTTCTAACAAACGTTAAAACTCTTGTAACAAAGGAACAGTGCCACTAAAGTAGTAAGAATGCTACATGCTCATTCACTGGTAAAGAAAACTGCTAAATGAAGTAAAATTTTACCTGCACCATAAGAACTTCTCCAAAGGTACTAAAATACTCTTTCAGGTCCTGTTCGGTTGTTTTCCACGGGAGACCCAATACTATTAAATCAGATGTTTTTTGGACTGCTCTTTTCACTTTCACTGCCGATGAAGCATCTGTCTCATCCATTTTCCTTTTGTTATCTAAATAAAATTAGTAGACACCTTTTAGAAAATTTCACATAGCTCTCCTTTAAAAACACACTACCCCTTATGTCTAGAAATGAGAAACTAAAAGAAGATTCTAAGAACAACAAGACAATGAAAAGACGGCTAGGAGTAATGTCAGCTCTCACAGATAGAATGAAGGCACATTCAGGAATTCCCAAATTCAGGTTTTGTAATATCTCAAGACTATAATCAATGGTAGGTTTTCCCCCCAAAAACCATAAAAACTTCATTTTTGGCTAAATATATTTCCTTAATTATTGAAATGCCTAATGTATATTTAAAGGCTACATACTAATTTAACTTTAATCTCCATATGTGAATTTAAGGACAATTTTAATTTTCGTCTTTTCCAAACGTCCAAAAATACGCATCAATTTCATAATAAGAAAACCAGAGGTTATTATTAAAAGCCTTGGGTTATCTGGAAGGGGAGAACTAAGTGACATTTTTGAGGTTGGGTACTAGGGACTGAACTCAAGAGCCTCACACAAGCTAGGCAAATGTTCTAACACTGAGTGACACCTCTAGCTCTTTTTTTAAATTTTGAGACAGGGTCTTGCCAAGTTACTTAGGGCCTTGCTAAGTTGCTGAAGCTGACCTCGAACTTGCGATCCTCCACCTCAGCACCCCGAGTAGGTAGGATTACAAGCATGTACCACCTTGCCTAGCTTTAAATGAAATTTGGACACATATTAAATCTATAGTCAATAGTTCAAGAAATAGCCTCCTGAAACTTAGTTTACACCATCAAACATAAGTCAATGTCTTGTATAGTGACCAAGTTTGGTGAACTACTTTGTTACAATATTGTGATTTTTTGTGTGGTACCAGAGATTAAACCCGGAGTACTCTATCGATGGCTACATTCTCAGCTTTTTTTATTTTGAGAGAGATTTTGGCTAAATTGCCAAGGCTAGACTGGAATTTGTGATCCTCCTGACTCAGCCTCCTGGGCAGATGGGACTACTGGGGTGCACCAAGGCACCCAGTCTGCAATATCAAGTTAAAAATAAAACTAACATAAATATTTATCAACTAGCATAAATTCATACTGCTAAATGTTCTTGGTATGCTTCTTAATCCTCATGGTTCCCCCCACTTCTTAATATTTTTTAGTTGTAGTTGGACACAGTACCTTTATTTATTTTTATGTGATGCTGAGGATCAAACCCAAGGCCTTGCATATGCTAGCCAAGCGCTCTACCGCTGAGCCACAAACCCAGCCCCATGGCCCTTTTCTTAGATTTATAATGTCAGTGATAACCAGCAGCGAGAATAAGACCAGAAGCTCAAAAATGGGACTGCACTAATTCAAGATTTGGATTACTACAGTTGATGTACATTTTAAGGGGGGGAGGAGAAGGGGAATAAGCCAGATAAAGATAAATGAATGATGGAAGGACAATAATCAAACCAAAATACTGGGGCACTTTAAGAGAATCAATTTACAAGACTGATAAAACTGCAAGACATTAGAAAGTCCCTAAATATGGCATTCACTTAGCAATGCTTACTCAGATAACTGATTAAATACATAGTTTTCTCTGGGGAAAAAAATGCTCTGTAATTCCCAATTTGCACTAATTTAGACTTGTGGTCTTCAAAACTAGTCTAACAGTGAAGTATGTGGATATATACTTGGGTTATAAGAGACGTTCTGCCATGAATAGAGGCCATGATCTAACACTAGGGACAAGACACAAACCCAACTAAGCATCGGCAATTTGCAAACCAAAAAGTAACAAACCTTTGGGATAGTTGACAACGTATACCAGGTTTCCCCAACCAGCATCAGGGGCATGCAGAATTCCTTCTACTAGGCGAACACCTCTCATACACTGGGTCACTGGATTCCTGTAGCGCAGCCCACATGCCCCTGGAAACTGGGCTGTAACTGTGGACAGCAGCACTGTCCCATCATCTTCTGATGGTATTTCAATGGGCTCATCATTCTCATCTTCCGTTACCCGAATATATTCAGACATCTTTTCTTACTTCTCTTAAAAGGAAAAGAGAGAGCGAATGAGCAACAGTCCCGTCAAAGTAATTACAGTTAGCTGATAACACCATCCCGTTACTGTTCCGACTTCCAGAAGAAACTCTTGCTCTTTTAATTCCCACACCTATTGGCTACCCCAGAAGGCAAGGATGTTGCTTTCCTATTAAAATTTTGATGCCTCCCTCAACAGTTCATTCATTCAGTGCCCATTTAGTAAGAGCTACGCATCGGGCGCTGAAACTGTAACTGGGTCCCCACGTGGCACACTGATTACAAAGGCGGGAGTAAGCAAGAGGAAGAAAGTAAACAAGTAGCTATTTTATTACAACCGTGAAAGTAGTAAATAACCCTGAAGGCGCGGGAGAACTTGAATTTGGCCGGGGCTCGTACGAGTGCGGATCAAGGCAGACTTCGTAAGAAGGCAGGGCACAAGCCGGGCCTTGAGACTGCAGGGGCAGGGGGCCAGGGGACGCGAACAGGGGGACGGTCCCTCTCTGTTCCTAATTTTGGGGCGGCTCTCCAAACTTGAGACGCAAGGACAGCGGCGACAGGTCCTCCGTGAAGTGGGCCGCCGCCTCCCAGAAGCCAGTGCGTGCAGGCCGAGGGAGGAGTTCCCAGCGCGGCCCGGGCGGCGACGCAGGGGCACCAGGCCCGAGCAAGCACCGACTGTCCCTTGGCGCGAGGTGCCGCAGGCACAAGCGTGGCCCGGGCCCCGGCGCAGGCCGACCCGCTGCCTGCGGCTGCTCGGCACCGCGGGCCGGGCATCCCCGCTCCGGCGCCCGCAGCCGCCCGCGCCAGGCCCTAACGACGCTGCCGCGCGAGCCCGCTCGGGCAGGGCGAGGTAGGCCTGGCTCCGCGGCTCCCTTACCGGGCCTCTGGGCCCACCTCAGGCCGCCCCCAACGCGGGAGGCGAGACACCAGCGGGGTCCACAGTGAGAAGCGTCCGCGACTCACCCGCTAGGCCGCTGCTAGGAAGCGCGACTCCGAAACTGAAGCAGCGAGGGATCCGAGAGCAGCCCAGCTACCTCTACGTTCCCACAAAATGGCGCTAGGGCCGCCTCCTCCCCCCCGCCGGCCGTCGTCCTCTCCCACCGGCTCCGGGTCAAGAGGGGGAGGGCGCCGCGCCAAGACGCCAGGATCTTCTCCTCAGCGGGCTGGGCACCCTGCTGGGAGCCCGAGCGTGAGGAGAGAAGATTTAAATGCTACAATAAGACCAACACCTGGGCCTGAAAAATCAGAGACTGAAAAAAAATACGGACGCTCAGACTTTTAACTCCCCCTACGTAACGTAGCAGATAGTTTCGCCCGACCAACCGCCGGCCCCGGAAGTGCGCGAGACCAGTGAGGGCCAGGCTGGCCGGGGCGGTGCGGGGGCGGGGCGCGGGTCTCGGACTTGGCTGACTTTGGGCGGGGGCGGAGGCGCAGCCCAGGTTCCCTCTTCCTGAAGCCCAGCAGGTGTGTCCTCTCCACTAGCCAACCTCCGACCTGGAAACGATAACTGTTCCAAATAATAGCAATAACAGTGCTACTATGTGCCAGGTACTCGGAGCGCTCACATATTTAATTGCCCAACTGTCTTGGGTGCTGGGCATTATTGATATTGTTCTTCTGCAGGCGAAGGAAACTGAGGCACAGAGGTTAAATATCTTGCATAAAGTTACCCAAGGAATAAATGCAGTCCTGGGATTTGAATCCTAAGGCACAAAATACTAGCCTGTTCCTGTTCAGCCTCTAGTAATAACAATGCTGTATTTGATCTATTTTAAAATACGCCTTTTTTTCCCCCTCATATCTGAAATAAGTATGTGATTTCAGTTCCAGCTGATGAAGGTCACAGTTTAACTGGCAACAATTTTTCCACCCCTGGGGAGTGAATCCAGGACCCTGAGGAACAGAAAGCACCTGATCTACCACTGAGCCCAATTGGCAACACTTTGAGTTTCTTGGTATATACATGTATCAATTTCAATGACGAAGGTTTACACAGACTCTGAACCTCAAATTTATGAATTCATGACATCTCACAGCAACTCTGTAAAGTAGGACAGAAGTTAATCCCTGTAGTGAGAACAGAGATCAAGTCACTCCCCCTCTCCCTAAAACTGTCTTGGGTAATAAAAGTGCAGTCGGGATTTGAACCCAGGCAGTCTGCTTCCTGTATCTTACAGTCTTCTAGGGAATGAATAGTAAGTCTTGCAAGCCCATCTCTGATGTGTGCTGATATTATCAAGCATATTAACTAGACTCTGCCTGAGCTGATTTGGATGGATGAGGGAGGAAAGAGCAGAGGCAGATTTAATGAGTGACCTTTACCCACTTCTGGGGGTAGCCCTGCACACAGGAGACCAGGCTGGACAGATGGCCCCTGCTGGTTACTAACCTTGTGAAGCATTGGGTAAAGCACAGGGTGGGGGGGACTGCATCATCTCAATCAACCCAGCTGCTCTGAGGCAGAGTCGGTTTTATTATCATCATTTTGCAGAAGAAGAAACTGAGGATGGGCATTTAATATACACATTGCTGTAGAGTTTTGGATGGCGGCTATGAGTAAAGGAGGCTGAGTGTGCAGAAGTGAAGGAAAGATTACACAGGAACAGAGCGATACAGCCTGTCCTTTCTCCCCAGAAGTTTCCAGGCAAGTTGGGAGGACCAGCAAGCACCTTCTGGAAGAAGGCAAATGACTCAACCAGGAAGAGAATGAGACCAAAGGGAGGCTGGACCACAGAGCCTCCCACTCCTGTCTGAGTTCATCTGCGGTTTCAGCTTGAAGCCACAGCACCAATTGTCGAAAGTGATTTGAAATGTAGTGTTTTTTAAGTTCTCCAAGTTTGCTTGTTTGTTCGTAACCCTTACACATTAAGCCTGCATATTATTAGGGAGCAGAAAGTATCTGTTCATCCCTACCTCCTCTCTTCTGAGCCTTTATGAAAGGAATCAGAAAGGGTTTACTGAACTTTTACACCTTATCAGCACTCTTCAAAAGGTACACAACAGAATTGACAGCCAGCCTTTGCCTGGACATAATCCACATGGGGGTGGGAACAGGTAGGGAGCCCAAGAGACAATAATTGGGAAATAGTATCAGGAGGCATAGAGCTTGGGTACTGGACAGATGCGGAGGGCTGAGGGGTTCTCCAATAGTTCCCTGGGGAGCTGGTTTCCAGCCTGGGGATAAGGAGTCTCACTGGAAAGAAGGCACTGGAAAGAGACTCACAAGTCTAAGAAAAGGCCCCCATGTCCAGTCCAGTCTCTGGGATGCCTCCCATCTTCAGCACCTCCCCAGATTGTCCAGTTCGGTCAGTTCCATGAAGCTAACAGGAGGGAGCTCTATGTGCATGCCTAAAACTAAAAGAAAGGCAAAGGTAATGAAGCCATTCAAATAAGGGTAATTTAAGCTGGTGTGGTGGCACACCCTGTAGTCCCAGCTCCTCAGAAGGCTGAGGCAGAAGGATGGCAAGGGAATGGCCAGCCTGGGCAACATGAGACCCTGCTCTAAATAAATGATTAATAATAAAGTTCATTTTTCAAAGTATTTATTTATTTATTTATTTGGGTGTAGATGGACACAACACAATGCCTTTGTTTTTTTATGTGGTGCTGAGGATCAAACCCGGGTCCCGCTCCTGCTAGGCTAGCACTCTACTGCTGAGCCACAATCCCAGCCCCTAAAGTTCATTTTTTAAAAAATATTTTTTAGTTGTTTATTTTATTTATTTGTATATGGTGCTGAGAATCGAACCGAGTGCCTTACGCGTGCTAGGCAAGTGCGCTGCCACTGAACCACAACCCAGGCCCCATAACGTTCATATTTAAACATCTTTTTTAAATAAATAAAGGTAACTTTATTAAGTATGATTTATTAAAAATTCCCTTGTGGGCTGGGGATGTGGCTCGAGTGGTAGCGCACTCGCCTGGCATGCGTGCGGCCCGGGTTTGATCCTCAGCACCGCATACAAACAAAGATGTTGTGTCTGCTGAGAACTAAAATAAAAAAATATTAAAAGAATTCTCTCTCCCTCTTTCTTTAAAAAAATAAAAATTAAATAAATAAATAAAAATAAAAATTCCCTTGTGTTCTCAGGTCCTTCCCAAATTAGAAGCTGCCCCTCCAGTTGGTCTAGGTCTAACTTAACATTTTTCTAAAATTTATTTACCTTGAAATAATATAAAATATAGAGCTGCAAAAATACTTCAAAGAACTCCTATGTATCCTTCATCCAGATTCACCAACTGATTATATTTGATCACATTTGCTTTTTCTTATTCTCTCTCTAGACATACAAGATTCTCTATATATTTACTTATTTATTTGAGGGTTAGTGGCAGCTCTCATTCTTCTTTACCCTTAAATACTTCAACTTGCATTTCCTAAGAACAGACATTCTCTTAAATAATCTTAGGACAGTTATCAAATTCAGGAGTTATAACATTAATTCTGTCTTGTGGGGGGGGGGAATACCAGAGATCAAACACAGGGCACTTCACCACTGAGCTACATCCTCAGCCCTTTTTACTATTTATTGTTTTTTGTTTTTGACACAGGGTCTCTAAATTGCTAAAGCTGGCCTCAAACTCAAATTTTCCTGCCTCAGCCTCAAACACTGGGATAACAGGTGTGTGCCATAGCTCCTGGCATTAAGACCATTTTCTGATAGACAATGATTTTCATATTTTGTTACTCTCTTTCCTCAAAAAAAAAAAAAGTGTCCTTTGAGGAATTTCTCTCTGTTGTCTAGGACCAATCTAAGAACCATTGTGATCATTCATTGTGACTCTTTTAGTTTGGTGCAGTTTCTCAGCCTTTGTCTTTTGTGACCTTGCTTTTTGTTTTGTTTGCAGCTCTGGGGATGGAATCCAAGGGTGCTCTACTGTGAGCTACATTGCCAGCCCTTTTTATTTTGTTTTATTTGTTCTTATTAGCTATACATTGTAATAGAATGTATTTTGATGTATTATACACATATGGAGTATAACTTCCCATTTTTCTGGTTGATGTAGAATTACATTGGTCGAGTACTCATATATGTAGGTAGGACTGTAATGCCCAATTCATTCTACTGTCTTTTCTATTCCTGTTCCCCCTCCCTTCTCTTCATTCCCCTTTGCCTAATCCAAAGAGTATGTCTATCCTTCCCCCCACCCTCTGCTTATTGTGAGTTAGCATCTGCATATCAGAGAGAACATTTGGCCTTTGAGCAAATGTCATAATTTCATTTCTCTTTATAGCTGAGTAGTAGTCCATTGTGTGTGTGTGTGTGTATATATATATATATATATATATATATATATATATATATATATATATATAATATTTTCCTTAACCATTCATCTGTTGAAGGGCACCTAGGCTGTTTTTATGGTTTAGCTATTGTGAATTGAGCTGCTATAAACAGTGATATGGCCCAGCCACTTTTAAATTTTATTTTGAGACAGAGTCTTGCAAAGGTGCTGAGGCTGGATTGAAATTTGAAATCCTCCTAACTCAGCCTCCCAAATTACTGGAATTGCAGATTACAGGCATGTGCCATCTCACACAGCATTTTTTTGTTTGTTTGTTTGTTTGTTTGTTTTTTAAGGCAGAGTCTTGCTGTGCTGCTCAGCAGGCTGGCCTGGAACTCCTGGGCTCAAATAATTTTCCTGCTTCAGGCTTTCAAGGATCTGGGAGTACAGATATACATCACTGCTCCCAGCTACCTTTTTATTTTTAACTATTTCAGCCATATGAAAAAAAAATGAAGCAATAAACATTAGCATAGTTACTACTTCTATGTAACGGTGGCTAAGATTTTACAATATATATTTTTTATCTATGTAACTATTTTTTCCTGGATGATTTGAAAGTAAGTTGCAGCAGACATCACAACATTCCATTTCTAAATAGTTCAGCCTGGCTGCCTGGCAGCTGGAGCCAGTAATCCCAGCAGTTTGGGAGGCTGAGGCAGGAGAATTACAAGTTCAGTGCCAGCCTCAGCAATTTAGCAAGATCAGGTTAGTGAGATCAGGTTTCAAAATAAAAAATAAAAATGGCTGAGGATGTGGCTCAGTAGTAAAGTGCCCCTGGGTTCAATCCCCAGTACCAAAAAAAAAAAAAAGAAAAAGAAAAAAGAAAAAGAAAATCCAACCACAAAACTTCAGCCTGCTTCTTTTAAGAACATACTATTATGTAATATCTGGTCCATATTCAAATTTCTACCGTTGTTCTCCCAAATGTCTTCCATAGTTGTTCTCTTGAACAAGGATCCAATAAAATTTCACATATTGAATCTGATAATTACATCCTATTAGCCATTTTTTTTTTAAATCTAGGATGATTTCCACATCTGACATATCAGCTCTTTGAAGAGATTTGGCCAAGAAGTTTGCAGAGTGTGGCACATTCTGATTGGCTTTTTGTGGTACTACTTAGCCTGTTCCTCTTTCCTATTTTTTCCTGTACACTGGAAGTTAGATCTAAAGACTTGAGCAATTCAGGTGAAACATAATGGCCAGAACTCTGTAAGGCTGAAGCCTCTGAGGTCCCCTTGCCTCCAGAAGAGGCATGTGGTGCCTGGTGATCTCACTCTCAGTGATGCCAAAGTTGATCTCTTGGTTAGGATCCTGACCACAGAAAGGGTGTGTTCTCCTCTTGCAATTTACAAGCACTGTCTGGATGCTACATTGGCACAGGACCAATGTGCCACTTCCTTATGACCTTTCACCTGATGGTTTTCACATCCACTGCTGGTTCTTCATTGATTCAGTTACTTCATTAAGAGTTGCAAATTTGCAATTTTTTCTTTTTCTTTTTCTTTTTGATACTGGGGATTGAACTCAGGGCACTCAACCACTGATCCACATCCCCAGCCCCACTTTGTATTTTATTTAGAGACAGGGTCTCACTGAGTTGCTTAGTGCCTTGCTTTTGTTGAGGCTGGCTTTGAACTCCTGAGCCATTGAGATTACAGGCGTGGGCCACTGCGCCCAGATGACAAATTTTATTTATTTATTTTTTAAACCCAGGGTTTCACACATGCTGGGCAAGTGCTTAATTACCACTGGGCTATATTCCCAGCACAAGATGGGAAATCTTAAAATGTTCTCATTCCTTCCACAATTTTTTATACCAGAGATTAGACCCAGGGACACTTAACCACTGAGCCATATCGCAACCCTTTTTATGTTTATTTTTTAATTAATTAATTTAGTTGTTCCAATTAGTTATACATGACAGTAGAATGCATCTCAATTCCTTTTTATTTTTTGTTTTGAGAAAGGGTCTCACTAAGTTGCTTAGGGCCTTGCTAGGTTGCTGAGGCTGGCTTTGAACTTGTGATATTCCTTCCTTAGCCTCCAGAGCCACTGGGGTTACAGGAGTGCACCACCATACCCACCTTATCACAAGCATTTTTGAAAGGTAAAATAATATCAAGGTAAGTTTTTTTTTGTTTCATCGTGATTTATTTATTTATTTATTTTTATTTTTTAAAAAAACATTTATTTTTTAGTTGTAGGTAGACACAATATATTTATTTTTATGTGGTGCTGAGGATCAAACCCAGTGCCTCACACATACTAGGCAAGTGCTCTGCCACTGAGCTACAGCCCCAGCACCTCATCATGTTTTATTTTTAATTGAAGTACCTGGGATCTGCTAAAATTAAGGTAGGTGTCTCTTATTTGACTTTAAGATTTTAAAATATATTTTGTAAAAAGCCAATTAGTACAAAGCACCAATAATTATAAACCTGTACTCTCCAACACCTCCATATTCCTTTCAAAGATACCCATTCTTTTAGTTGTCTCTTGTGGATCTACCTACATGCTTTTATGTAATAAATCTATTCTGCAATATTTTGATATTGCAGTGGATATCATCCACATTAGAAACTATCTATTGATCCTGTATTATGACCAATAGGATTTTTAGCTTATATTCCATTATTTCCTCTATCCCCTTAACATACCTATATCACATTTTTTTTTGATTAAATATACAGTGAATGTTTTCATTATTGTGATCACATAAATTTCATTCACTACTGAACCGTGAAGTATCCTTCTGGTACAACTTTTAATTTTTCCTGGAGTTAATAATTGCTTTTTTCCCCATTCGTTTTGTGCATTGGCAGAATTAAGCACTTTTAACAGAAATTGCATAGTACATAGCCAAAAATATAGCTGCCTCTCTGTGTCTATGGGGATTGGGTCCAGGACACCCCCCCTTTAGATACCAAAATCTATGGATGTTCAAATCCCTCATAAAGCCACATAGTATTTGCATATAACCTATGCAGATGCTCCTGTATACTTTGAATCATCTCCAGATTACTTATCATACCTGACATAATGTAAATGCTATGTAAATAGTTTTTACACTGTATTATTTAGGGAATAATGACAAGGAAAATTATGTACATGTTTAATATAGACACAATTTTTTTTGTAATTATTTTTTTTAATCCATGATTGATTCAATCCAAGTGTGTAGAATCTGCAGATACAGAGCAACTACTGTATTTGCTGTCTGGCCCTTTACAGGAA